TTAAATTTATATACACCACTGGAATGTGTTGCATCTCTTGACATGTTGAATTGCTTGTGAAAGTTGCTACCCATTTTAAAGCATTTGTTTGTTGTTCTTGAGTGGTACAACTCACATCTGTATTTGTACAATGGTATTGATAAGCAACGCACACGCACGTATCGTTTGAACAATTATTAGCCATGATTATACCACCCGGGCCTGAGTAATAACATTTGAGTGTGACCGTTAATGGAATTAGAGCCATCAGAGCGCATAAAACGTATATAGACATCTCTAAAGCTAATATTAAAATATATGACAAGGACTGATATTGGATCTGAGTGTCGAAAGTTGTATCATTTATTTATTATTGCAGAGACTTTCATTTTTTATCCTGTCATGCAGCTATTTTAGCTATAGTTCGAGCCTGGTCATGCGTTTAGTAAAACCAATCTTTTAAAAACACTCTACAGTCAAGAAATGCATGACTTTGAGTCGCATACTTCTTTATCAACAACTCATGGAATTGATGTAGTTCCTTCGGACTTTATGTTTGTCGTATTATGTAGATGCTCCTTTTCTACAGACGAAAATTTATCGGTGTTACGGTTTGGAAACAGTGCATTTTTTTGCATTATATCGATATTCTATTTAAGGTATGAATAATAGGCGCACAAACAATAATTAAAACAATTCTCAATAATGAAAAGCGATTCTTATATTGCATGATTCATCATCAAGTTAACTGATTCTCTGTGATGTATGTTTCTATGCAGAGTGTTTATGCGCACTCCACTGTAAATTATTAGAGTGTTATTCGGTTCAGATAAAAGTTACTTTTTCTGTTGTTTGCAGTTTAGTTTAGTTTTTACAGTTGAAATCTTTTTCGTTTAGCTCTGCTTTTTTGTAGATTACTGTTGTTAAAGAAATACTCTTCAAAAATTATGTTAAGAGAATACCATACTCAAAAATTCACTGCAGAAAAGACAATGTACAAGATTTCTCTCATTCTAGAAAAGCAATCATTTCAGTGAGACAAGGACTGATCCTTCCAAATCTTGTTGTTTTGATATACGAAAGATTCTTAAATTAGTATTGTTCAGACGAGATTCAGTTCGTGTTTTGGATAGTCGTAAAACTAGCAAAGAAAACTACACTTACTTTTTTTATTTAATCACTTTTAAAGTTAGAATAAACAATTTATATTGATATCGAAGGGACAGTAAATATTATAAAACTATACTAATTATTGTAAGATTATGTGTGTGAGTTTTATATTCAATCAAATCGAAAAATATTTTTTATAATATACAACGATATACTTTTATGTGACAGAAAAAAAATTGAGAGGGTTTGTATATTCATATAAAAAAGTAATATTTATAAGTAATTTATTTGTATAGAAAATGACAGCTTGTTTAGGAAACAATGATGAATGAAAAAACGCACAAACATTCGTACGCGATGTATACAGTAACGAATGCCACTCTAAAGTAGGACAAAAAAAATTTATTCTTTTAGCTGAATATTGATGGCAAATATTAGGAAAAAAGATATATTCGTATAAACCCAATCATGAAAAGTATTTCGTCGTCCTGTCAGAACAGGCTATCGTGTTTGCGATTGATAGAGCAATGACGTTTATTGAGACAAAATACCTGGAACAATTGAAAATGTTAAGTTAATCACTTTACAAACACTAATAGCTTTTTAGTTTCTGTATCGTTAGTCGAAACGTTAAACTGACTTGTCAAAGTGTATTATCTTTCTACTGGATTTTCACTAGCTCTGTATATCCGTGCAGCTGAACTTGCTCGAAGGCAGTCACTCATCTCTTTATTGATCATTAATCACATCTTTAATCTGGTTTAGAGTTCTTTCGTCTAACTGCCCGTGCTACTCGTACATACTTACTAACTGTCTTTATGAAAAGCCAGACAATGTTGTACGAACCGATGATTTGAGGCACGTAGACTTTTATCAAGGATTTTCACGTTTGGAAATCAACATTTGATTTTTTGAAAAATTGATTTATTTTATAGAGAATAAATTTTGAATTTTACTAAAGTCAAATTCGCTTTTTTGTAGAATCAAACTTATGTTGTCAAAAATCGAATTTGGTTATACAGAAAACTGTCAATTTTATAACAAAGCAAGACGAAGTTTATAATGAGTGTAAAATTGTTGAAAATCACGTTTTTGAAAATGTGAAAAATCGGTGACGACTTCATATGATGAAGAGCTTTTTGCTGTCCAACTTATTCTTCAGTTTACAGTACACAGTTACCATAAAAATTCAAAATCAAAATCTTGTGAAGAAAAATTTGAGAATATTGAGTGATTCAGCCGAGATGTTTCCTGATCTTGAGTGAAACAATTGCTCTACGTTTTTCTTTCGTGTATGACAGCCACAGCTATAAACATGTAATCTTACATAATTGCAAGCAAGTAAACATGTGCATGATCAAGGTTTTTTGGTCACGGCAATGGACACGAACACGCTAGTTTTTTTCTAAAAGTCACGATGACAGTGGTCACGAGAAAATTTTCTCAAAATTTTCGGGCAGTTTTGTTTGCTCCAAAAAACAAGTATTTCAGAATTAATAATGCATGATCTTCACTCGTCGTTACTGTTTTTCGGAGAAAAATTAATTATTACACCTGAAATTAGTGAAAGAATTTAACGAAAATGATTTTTTCAGGAAAAAATTCGTGAAGAATTTTTCCCATCTTCTTTTCTACTTTAAGTTATCGTGTCCACTTTTTCTTTGAATGGTTACGATGACGGGCACGCACATCTCTAGATTCAAGAATTATCAAGGTCTTGATGCAAGAAGTGAACAAGTTTGTGGATATGCAAGTTCTTGATTCAAGATCTTGATGAGAAAACGTAGACATTAAAGAAATTCCAAGAAGCCATGATCTTGAGTTTAAAAATTTGTTATACAAAATACAGGGTGGCCCACAAGTTAGTTTACCGAGATAGACACATATTTTATTTTTAGTTATATCAAAATTACATCATAATTATTTATTTACATCACAGTTGTTAACATCAAGATGCATTAGTCAAAATGTCAAAAATTATCAAAACTATTAAGAAACAATTATCAAAAACTTGAAATTATCAGTTACACTTTATATCGGTAAACCAACTTTTGGGCCACTCCGTATAATCGGCATAAGTAATAGTAGAATTAGTTGTACAAGTTTGATTAAGAAATCGTACAGAATACCAGTTCTCTACTATTTTTGATAAAATTTTGTGAAAACGTCTCTTTACTAGGTCAGGAACAACACTTCATCATTCACAACTAATGAACTTATATATGTATTGAATCCTTTGGAGAGAGATTCGGAAGAACAGAAACAAAATACCGCACACTATGACCACAACTTATAAGTGAAGATCGTCTTCTCGATCGTTTTTTGATTGAAAAAGTAGATCTTTCTTCTTTGGCCTTGGTGGAAAATGTCGAAAAGGAGAAGATTCCTTTCTGTTCCTTGAAAATCACTGAAAGAGATAGACGTATTTTTATCATTAGAACTATTATGAGTTCTCGTCAGACTAGTACGCCTGCTCCAATCTCGTAGCAATTATAGTCACTCATTGAAAAAGTAAAGTATGATGAAAAGTATGAACTTCAGTATGCCTGCTACGATGAACGCCTCATCCCACCCACTTAACGCATCACTATGCAACTAGGCGCAGGGACATCGGCTCCAAAGCAATCAGGAAATACAGCAGCTTTTCAACAATGATCTGACACACTCAATGGATGATTTCTGAATTAATGCAAAACAGCTACTGGATGGATTATTGTTGTTGATCAGGATAAACGAAAGATTAGATCACGATCTATTGGCCTTATCATTCCTCTTCTACTCTCTTTTCTCTATATGATTTAATAGAATATCTCTTTCAGTTATTTTCAAGGAACAGAAAGGAATCTTCGCGTTTTCCTTCCGATATTTTCCTTCGTCCCATTATCCGCTTTCAACGTTTTCCTTTTCGGCATTTTGCTCTTCTTTCAGTTCGATGTTTTTCTCTTTTTTTATCGACATTTTCCATTCGACGTTTTTCGTCAACCTCTCTTCTTTAACCCATGCTTGAAATTTCGCGTTTCCATGCTTGAATAATAAAAAAAATCACCTAACTGTGCAGAACAATTTTTAGGACAAAAGTAAAGCTGAACATTCTCTCTTAAAACAAAAGGTTAACTGGTTAATATTCTCTTTTTTGTCACGTATGTCCTGAAAATTGTACACATAGTAAAAGAGGCAGTTCAAAGGCTTTTGTTTTTCTGTAACTAAAAACGTGACTGTAAAATAAATTTATTAAACTCAGCCAACATCGGATTTTAACAATCAAAATCTACGCATCGTATGATTCTGATTTCTTTTCTTCCTCGCGATAGAAAAAAATCATCTCTCGACGAATGTTTTTGAAAAACAAAAAGATTAAAAATACGTTTGTGCTGACTATACCAGAGTATGAAAATAACAATCATGACTATGGGCGTAAATTACGTTTTCCCTCTAACCACCTAATATTTTGTTTATTGCTATATGCCAACGTTATTTTTCGTTTTTAATTACGCTTCATTACATAGTTGTCGCCAAAACGTGTAGCTTTTTTTCGTATGGCTTAGCAGTGAACGTATCTAATTTGTACCTAACAAAATTTCAACCAAGCGCTACTTTCTATCAGTTTCACGTTGATGATGGTGACTAGTCGTAGAAATTGTAGTTGTAGAATACCTTGACCATTCTATTACTACAATGAGTGATAAATATAAGTGTGTATATCTTTTCTCGTGTGCATAAAAGAGAAGAAAAATGTGGGCACATAGCTACGATGTGATGCGTAAGAGCAGATGAAAAAGAAGAACGAATAAAATATCAGCACTAAGACAGAATCAAGAAACAATTCTCTTTTTTTGTATTATTTTCTATGATTCTCAGATATGCAGAACTCAACTATTTCTTGCGATTCTCGATAACAGACTACAATCAGCATGTATTTTTACGAACAATTTTGCCAAGAATATCTCCATACAACGTCAGATAAAACTGATTTTAATCGTCAATTTTCTCACTGTAAAAACGACTATGATCGTGTCGAAGTCTTATTGAAAAACAATGAATATATCAATTTCATAATAAAATTGTGTTCTAATATTGTTAATAATTATGATAAAAAATGTTCAATAAAAGCAGTGGAACAACGTAAATTGGGTAATATACATTTTAGTAAAGATCAATTTCAACAGTCACTCACATACTACAATCAAAGTATATTATATGCGACACATAACTCGGAGGAAATACGTTTAGCGTATGGAAATCGTTCAGCTTCATTATTCCATCTAAATAAATTTCAGCTAGCCATTGATGACATTCTCTTAGCATTAGAAAACGGCGAAGATGATGAAAAACGAAAACAACGGTTAAATGAAAGGTTAAACAACTGTCGACAAAAACTATTAATAAATAGCAGCAGTAGGTAAGTTCAAAATACTACTAAATTAATGTATTTCATTACTAACGCGATAAATCGGTGAAGTGCTCCTGTACAGTAAAGGATAGGACAGGGCAGGTTGTAGAATATGGAAGTTTTTATAGGACAGATTGTTACGGTCCATAATCTTGTTTCAACGTGCGGCGTAAATACATTTAGCCATACGTAGAGAAGGCAAGGAAAAGATCATTCCACAATCTGATTAACTCGCGATGATGTCATTCGATACGTTCTTCAGTTCTGCATTATCTACGCTTATGTTTAGTGTGTTAGAAAACATCTACGTCAAAGTATATCTTTCACTAGATTGAGACTGTTTTAAAAAATTATTGAAGTTCTGCTTATTCTTCATTTTTCTTAGCGAATTTTTACAGAAAAAGATTAGTTTCCGCAAGTTTCTTTCCTCAAATGATAATTTTTTCATTTGTATCTGCTCATGCGTTCTGAACCCTGGAGAGCGCAACCATTAAAAAATCTCTGAGTCAGACACTACGACTCAGATTTGTTTTACAGGACAGATTACAAAAAAATTGTATATTGCAGAGGTTTACTGTACGGATATATCTCTTTTAGTCTGACGTTAAATGATAAACCGAAGGAAGATTTATCACTAGAACTAGAGAAGAATATTATCGAATTAAATTCTCATTCTAATTCCAAATATCCAAGTTTTGATAACACTGTCGATATTAGAATATCTAAAGATAAAGGTCGCTATGTAGCATGTGCACATTCATCGAGTGAAATGAAACCGGGTAAAATTGTGATGATTGAAAAACCATATGCAAGTGTTTTGTTGACACCTTATTTTGAAACTCATTGTTCTCATTGTTTATATCGATTATATACAATATGGTATCCATGCAGAAAATGTATTACTGTCCGATATTGCTCAACAGAATGTGAACAGACTGCTTGGACTACATATCATCAATATGAATGTTGTTTAATAAGCTTAATATTAAAATTAGAGAAAATGCAATTTTTGGGACTAAGAGTGATGACAAAAACAAAATGGCAATTTTTTCAGGAAAGGAAAGATGAATTTATGAATTATTTAAAGTATTCAGTAAAAATAGTATCAGAAAAGATGTATGAATGGAACCAATATGAAAATATTTTACAGTTGGAATCACATTCGAATGATAGAGATTTAAATGACTTGTTACAAAGAACAATTATTGCTTGTATAATAGGATATGCATTATCAAAAACAAATTATTTTTTATCAGGTAAGAGATTTTGTTCTATATGAAAACAAAGAGGCGCATAGATATATTTGTTAGATTCCATGGACAATTGTAATGATAACACTATCGTGGATGAAAACTTGATTTATTTATGTTCGTTACTCGCTCGTCATTTGCAATCATTACCGTGTAATGCTCATGAAATTTCTGAATATATCGAAATTCCTTCGCAACCATTATCATCTCATACAATTGAACTTGGTGCTGGTATCTATTGTTCACTGAGTCTCTTTAATCATTCATGTGACCCAGCAGTTATTCGAAATTTTATCGGAGATACGGTTCTGGTACGTTTATTGAAAACCGTCGAAAGTAACGATGAATTATCCGACAACTATGGTCAGATCTATGCAATTAGTCGAAAGAAAGAGCGACAGACAAATTTATATGATCAGTATTATTTCAAATGTTCATGTACGCCGTGTATTCAAGATTGGGTGATATATGATCAATTACCAGACGAACCTCGATTTCGTCAAAATGTTTCCAAAAACGAATTTGATGAGTTATATGAAAAATATCAGAAATCGTTTCAGAACTTAATCGATGGGCATTTGCCATCTAGGAATGATCAAACTGTGTTCGAAACGTTTTTACACTTTTGCGATCGTTATGTTGAAAAACCATGGAAAATTTATAACGGATGTCAGGAAGCATATAAACAATGTTTGAGTTCATGTCATCATTCAAAATATATCCAAAAATAAAATCTATAGTTTAAAGTGATCATCTTGAAAAGAGCTTTTCAACGGTTCATCAATGGTTTTCTTCACATTTTAAAGCTATCATCATTTAATAATCGTAGCCAGCCACAAGTGGTTCGAATATCCCACTATATAGATCAGGATTAGTAATACAGCAACAGTATTACTAATCTATTGTTGTGGATTGTTTGAAGGGTTTTTTGGTCGTTTTTAGACTATTTTCATAAACCAAAAAAGGTTCGTGATCGTTTCAAAATGAAAAACCCTTTTCCGTTTTTTGATCTACCCACATTTTTTAGAGTGCACCCAGCTCAAGTCGGAGTCTTGACTAGTCGATGTTAAACATTACGTAGATACCCACTATTCACTGCCCTACTCGGTTCAAAGCTGAGTCATGTCGGAACAATGAGTTAGCTCTGAGAAGACTACAGTGAACACACTTGGCAACTCCGTTTCAATCTAAGATAAAAAGATGATCTAAAAAGAAGAGTATTTCTCGCTGAAATGTGTTTCTTGTATATTTATTTACTGCAAAATAAAACGGTGAATAACAAAAGGCCATTTAATCGCTTATGATCAACACTTAATTGCAGTCAATTGACGATTATTAAAAACAAGAAAAATCACTAGAATCGCTAATTAAGCGCAATTAATTTGCGATGTTTTCAAGAATCACCATTAATTGTTAAAAATGCCGCGATTTCGATGACATGGGTGTCCTATAAATACTTTCCATTCTGTTCTTTTTCCTTAACGGTCGCATAGGAAAGATGTAAAGAGATCGAAGAGAAGATTACCTCGTTTTGCGACTCTTGTCATCGGTGTGGTGTGCTGACAAGTGCCAGTTTCAATAGTGCAATAGTTTCTTTACAGTTGACAACCTTTGAAGATGGCCACACATATCATTATTATTCATCAACTGCGACTAGCGATGACGCAGAGTTCTTTTCACCGCATTATTTGTGTTCCTCATACATACTCACTCATCATGCTTTCCAGAAAGCAAAGAAGACTGATCGGAGAAACTGTATTGTATGACATAACGCAGTGAGTACGGTATCGGACGGATGATCTGAAGCACCCAGATACAAGCAAGTTGTCCAAGGTTATTACAGATCTTATGCACGTCGAGAGTCAAATACAGCACTTCTGATGCACATGGCAAACAACACAATCGTAAAATCATGCTGTAGAGCATATAAAAGCGCTCAGCGACAAAAAGTAACAAAAGTTTAAACATCCAGTACAATTCGATAGATCGTTATACTGTGATAAATACGATATTCGTTCGCCATCATCATAAATAAACGAACAGTTATTTCTTTGAAAGCTAAAAGAGAAATCGAAGCCCTCTTTATTATCATCGTAAGAACAAAGAAATACAAAAACACCAGCTTATAAAGGGAACAGTTTAACAAATAAGGAACAAACAGAGAAAAAGAACTCTATGAGCGGATAAGATTGAAGAGTAACGAATCGCTTGTTTTTAATACTTACAATTCTTGTTAATTTAAGTCTCTACCATATCGAAATACTGGTACGCACGAAAACAATGCTAATTTCAACAATGCTAATCAAAGTCTAGAAATTTGAGAAAGATTCGAAACGCAATAGTTGAATGAGACATAATTTACTACATGGCCTCCTCGTATTCCAAATTGCGTTTCTTCTAATTTTACTCTAATTTGAAGTTTTGTTTTGCTACTGTCAACATACTGTTTACTCTAAATCAACTATATATAGATATCTGATACAAAATGGAAGCGATTTTCATCGTCGCTAGAATCAGCGTAAATTTGACTAAATCACAAAATTTTGTATTAAATGTGAATCACATTTTCTTGTGATTTATCAAACTTTATTATTCATGAAGGGGCACCAGTTGTTTTTATTTCACATATCTTCTCTATTGTCATTTTTTTATGTCTAAAGAAAAAGAGCGATACAATAACCGTTTAATCGTAGCATACAGTTCAATTATGTATCTTTTCTCTCTAGTAAGTAAATTAATCTACAATCAATTTTTCTCAAAAAACAAAATTTGTATTCATTTTAGTTCTTTATCTTGTTTATTCTGCCTGTTAAAAGTCAGTTAACATTGCAATTAAATGCGTCATTACCTCCTCGATCCGATTTTATTCAATTCAAATATATTCCACAAGTTTTAAATTATGGCGATTATTGTACAATCCTCTATAGATGTTCAACAAATCGGCTAATTACTCTCGAGATTTTAATCGATACTGTTCGTCAAACTAATTTTCGTGTCTTTCGTCGTCATTGGTTTTGTAAACCACACAAAACAGTTCAGATACAATATGTTAAATTAAATTATAGCCCTCTCCTTGCCTTTTCACCCGATCAATTAAACTCTGTTTCACTACCTGTAACTCACGGTTTCATCCGATTAA